TGGATCAAAGTAATGTTTTTGGAAATGGTGAACGCACTAGCCTGAATTTTGCTAAAGCGGTTGGCCGTTCTATGGCAACTGATCTGAATTTTTATCCTCTTGCGGACAAAAAACAGGCTCATGTCTCTATCCCTATTGAAATGGCGAAGGAAGCTGCCAAAGCCTATAACTCAGTTTTATACGGCAATTTCCTGGGACCTCGTATCCCTTTTCCTCTTGTGAAAATTTTTGTTAAAATGGCGTGGGGTAAATTTGGTTTTTTGGATGCGATGCTTAATAAGAATGGTATTTTTTTCTTTAAATTTAATGACGTTGGTGGATGTGATCAAGTGATTGAGGCTGGCCCGTTGATGATCAGAGGTATTCCTTTATTTCTCCATCGTTGGGATCCGTCCAAGGGGTTAAAAAAGCCAGAACATTCCTCCTGTCCATTATGGGTGAAACTCCATAATATTCCTTTAGTTGCGTTCAATAAAGAAGGCGTTAGTCGTATTGCGAGTGTTCTGGGTATTCCAAAACAAATGGATTCCTGCACTGCTTCAATGTGTGAAAAAGCTTGGGGCCGGCCTGGTTTTGCTAAAGTTCTTGTTGAGGTTTGGGCTGTGGGTGATCTAAAACGGAAAATTGATGTTGAAATCCCAAACATAAATGGTGGAGAACCCGATAGTGTGCAAATTCAAGTAGAATATTTATGGGAACCGATTCAATGTACCCATTGTCAACTTTTTGGTCACAAACTTTCGTCGTGTGTTAAAGCCGCTAGTTTGAATAAAGGTAAACAAATTGATGGCCGAAAAGATGCTGATGGGTTTACTAGAGTGGCGAAAAAACAATGGCGGGTTAAAGGKGGAAATAAAGCCGATCATTCTAGTGGTAGAACGGATAATGGAAGAAAGGAATCAAGCCCTCTTGAAGCGTCTTTGGGAGTGAACGTTGTAAGTCAAGAAAGGGAAATAGAAGAGACCATGGTTTCTAATAATGTTGAGTTGATGGATCCTCCTTTGCCAGAGGGGAGGGATGTGTTGGGTGAATCACGTAAGAATAATTATGGGCCTTCATCTTCATCTTCTAAGTCTTCGCACCATGCTATGTCTACTCCTACCCCACTTATATCTTCTGTGATTAAAAATTTTCGGTTGCCGAGACGAGGGGTTGTGATAAACCATGTTGATTCTAATCGGTTTGGTGTTCTTGAGACTTTAGGGGAAGAGACTTCTCGGGTGGACTCTCATGATGAGGTGGTCAATGATCTGACTGATATTCAGGGGGATAATCGGAATAATAGGGAGCAAGGAGAAAGTCTTTCCTCATGATGAAATTTGCTTCATGGAATATCCGGGGGCTTAATTCTCCGGTTAAACAAAAAGAGGTACGGAATTTTCTCCATTGTAATGATGTGTGTTTATGTTCCATTGTCGAATCACATGTTTCTAAGGATTCTCTTGAAAGTGTTTGCTATAACTCTTTCGGTCAGTGGTAATGGGTTTCTAATCAAGCCATGAGTGAGTATGGTACTCGTATAATCCTTGCTTGGGATGCTCGAGTTTTAGATGTCATGGTTTTAGAGGCTCATAATCAATTCTTAAATTGTAAGGTGCTTGTACGGGGTAGTCAACATTATATTTTCGTTTCTTTTGTATATGGGGCTAATGTTTGTAATGTCCGTCGTGCTTTATGGTCGGGGCTGCGGAAATTTAAAGTGCTCATTGGTTTTTCCCCGTGGGTTGTAATGGGGGATTTTAACACCATGTTATTCCCTCATGATGGTTTTGGAGGCTCCTCTCGTCGTAACTTGGATATGGCTGATTTTTTTGTGTTTGTAGAGGATGTGGAATTATTTGATTTACATTATACGGGAGTCCATTTCACGTGGAACCAAAAACCGAACTTTTCGGGGGGTATCATGCAGAAATTGGATAGAGCTATGGGCAATGAAGAGTTCACGTCTGTTTTTCAAGATGTTAGTGTTCATTTTCATCCTTCGGGTCTTTCGGATCATACTCCAGTGACGGTTTCTTTCAGATGYGGCATACGGAAAAAAAGACATGGGTTTAAATTTGACAATTTCTTGACTGAACATCCAGGTTTTCTTCAAGTTGTAAAGGATGAATGGACAAATAATATCGAGGGTTCTTTTATGTTTCGAGTGACTTCTCATTTGAAGGCGCTGAAGATTCCTCTTCGGAAACTTCGTCATTCTTATGGCAACCTTGGTAAGCGTGTTGCCTTTTTGAAGACTGAACTTGATCGTATCCAGTTGGATGTTGATAATGATCCTTCTAATGTTGAGCTAGGCCAAGAGTTGGGTCATATTCGTATTGCGTATCAAAATGCATATAGGGATGAGAATTGTGCCGCGAAACAACGTGCCAAAATTGCTTGGTTGAATGAAGGTGACTTGAATACTAAATTCTTCCATAAAGTGATTAAAGAACGGCATCATTACAATTCTATTCAGTCTGTGTGTACAAGTGATGGAGCATATGTCTATGGTGATGATGTGCCTAATGTTTTTGTGGATCATTTTAAAGACTTTCTGGGTTCGAGGTATGTTTCTTTTGATCCGACTATGACTAATGATGTTTTCATGCGTAAACTTTCTCTGGTGGAAGCTAACCATATGATCAAACCAATTCACAATGAAGAAATTAAAAATGCTATGTTTAGCATTGGTAATTATAAAGCTCCTGGGTCTGATGGGTATTCTTCTAAGTTTTTCAAAGAGGCTTGGGACATTGTTGGCCGTGATGTGGAGACTGCAATTCACAATTTCTTTTATCGAGGTAATCTTCCTAAGAGCTTCAATCATACGCTTTTATGTATGATCCCTAAATCTATTAATGCTACTAAGGTTACGGATTACCGGCCTATAGCATGCTGTACTGTGCTTTATAAATGCATTAGTAAGGTCATTGTTAATAGAATGAAGGGATCTTTGGATTTTTTAATTGATAAAGCTCAATCGGCTTTTATTCCGGGGAGAAGGATTACAGATAATATCCTTATGGCGCATGAACTTGTGTCTGGTTATCAATCTACTACGGGTCCGCCTCGTTGTGCGTTCAAAATTGATATAAGAAAAGCTTATGACACAGTGGATTGGCGGTTCCTTATTGTTATGCTTGAAGGTTTGGGGTTTCACCCTGTTATGGTTAAGTGGATAAAGGAGATGGTTTCGACTCCTTCTTTAGCCATTAATAGTAATTCCCATGGTTTTTTTCTTGGAGGGAGGGGTCTTCGTCAGGGTGATCCGTTGTCCCCCTATCTGTTTACGATTGTTATGGAAGGATTTTCTCTGCTCCTTCAAAAGTGTATTCGGGAGGCTGCTGACTTTGGTTACCATCGGGGTTATGAGGATTTGGATTTGACTCATTTATGTTTTGCGGATGATTTGTTTTTCTTTACAAAAGGGGATGTCCTTTCTGTTGAAGTGCTTAAAAAAGCTCTGGCTCTTTTTCAGAACTATTCGGGATTAGCTTCATTGGATGTCGGTTTTCTTATTCCCGTCTGGTATCATTCATGATCTTGAATCTATATTTCGAAAATTCCTTTGGGCTCCAAGGGAAGATCCTCGTGGTAGATGTCGGTTATCATGGGATATGGTCTGTAGACCGCTGGAATCTGGGGGGCTTGGAATTAAAAGACTCTCCACTTGGAATCGGGCTTTACTTGCAAAGCATGTGTGGGATATTGCTAGGCGACGGGATTCTATGTGGGTTCGTTGGATTTATAGTAATAATCTCCGTTCTTCGAATTTCTGGATGGTTCGTAAGAATTCTAATTGGTCTTGGGTTTTTCGTAAACTTTTAGACTTGCGAAGTCATTTGCGTCTGTTTCTTTTTTCTCAAATTGGTGATGGTCGGGACACGAATGCTTGGGAGGATGCTTGGTTACCTTGTGGTCCTCTATCCGCTTTTATCTCTTACCGGTTTGTCCATTCATGTGGGTTCTCTACCTTAACGACGGTTCGTGATCTTATTATAAACTGGAATGGTAATTGGCCTGATGATTGGTGTCAACGGTTTGATATGCTTCATAATTCTCCGTTACCTTTATTGACCTCTGTTCGTGATAGAGTTCTTTGGGGGGACATGTGTTCGGATTTTACAGTGGGTAAGGCTTGGGCTTCCTTAGAGGGTAATCATCCTGTGATCCCTTGGTCTAAATTGGTTTGGTTCTCGGGTCATATTCTGAAGCATGCATTCTGTTTTTGGTTGGCTTGTCAGAGACGGCTTCCGACTCAAGACCGATTACATTGGAAGGATGAGCCCCCAGATTTGGAGTGTTCGCTTTGTGGTCAATGTTTGGATAGTCATGATCATTTATTCTTTCAATGTTCGTATGCTGGAGTTGTATGGACTAGTGTTTTACATATGGTGGATCTGCCGRGTATGCCTTCAAGGTGGGAGCAGATTGTTCAAGTTATTTCGGATCCTAATAGTCGTCCGAAATTGTTAAAACGGAAGCTTGTTGTGGCTGCTATTGTTTACTATATTTGGCAGGAGCGTAATAGAAGACTTTTTTCTGCGACTAAGCGTACGGCTTAGGAACTTATTGCAGTTATTAGGGATTCTATCTCCATTCGTGCAGATTGGTTGGCGAGTCGTCCTGTGGTTACTTATGGTTGACTTGAAGACTTGTTTTTGGTTCTGGGGGGCTTTGGTTTGGGTTAAGCTTCTCTTTTTTATCTTCTATTGTTTGTTTGCTTCTTATGGGCTTTGTTTCTTTTGGCTTGTTGTGGCTTGGTTGGGGTGTTTCTATCGGCCTTGGTGCTCTTTGTTACAGGTTGTGGTCTGTCTGTTTTTTGGTTGCGTTGTAAACCTTTTTATTGCGTTTTATAAATTTGCCGAAGTTTTCCTTCAAAAAAAAAAAACACCAAATCGTTTAATTATTGTGTTGAGGATGTTGAATTATTTGATCTTCAATATTCTGGTGTTCATTTTACCGGGAATCAGAAGCCAAATTCTACAGGAGGTATTATGCGAAAACTAGATAGGGCTATGGCTAATTCGGAGTTTGCTTTTAAATTTTATGATGCTAGTGTAAAGATTCATCCTTCAGGTCTTTCCGATCATTCTCCGGTGGTCTTATCGTTTAAAGGTGGTGCTCGGGAAAAGAGGTATGGTTTTAAATTTGACAATTTCTTGACTATTCACCCGGATTTTCTTCAAATTGTTAAGGATGAATGGGCTAATCATATTGAGGGTACTTTCATGTTTCGCGTGACTAGCCATTTGAAGGCCCTCAAGACTCCCCTTCGGAAGCTTAGGAAGTCTTATGGTAATCTTGGACAACGTGTTTCTTTTCTTAAGACTGAATTAGATCGTATTCAATTGGATGTTGATTCAGACCCCTCAAATGATGAATTAGGTCTTGAACTTGGTCATATTCGTATAGCGTATCAAAATGCGTGTTGGGTTGAGGAATGTGCGGCTAAACAAAGAGCGAAAATTAATTGGTTGAATGAAGGGGATATGAATACCAAATTCTTTCATAAAGTGATCAAAGATCGGAACTACTGTAATTCCATTCAATCGGTTTGCTCTAGTGGTGGTGAGTACTTTTATGGTGAAGATGTCCCGAAAGTCTTTATTGAGCATTTTAAAGACTTTTTGGGTGGGACGAATGTTTCTTCTGATCCGACTATGCCTAATGCTCTCTTTTTAAGAACTCTCTCTTTATCGGATGCAAACTATATGATCCGGCCGATTTTGATGAAATTAAAAATGCTATGTTTAGCATTGGTGATTATAAAGCTCCAGGATCGGATGGTTTTTCTTCAAAGTTTTTTAAACAAGCATGGGAGATTGTTGGTCGTGATGTGACTCTTGCAGTCCATAACTTCTTTTATCGAGGTAACCTTCCTAAGAACTTGAACCATACTCTTATTTGCCTTATCCCGAAATCTTTGAATGCTTCTAGGGTCACGGATTATAGGCCTATAGCATGTTGTAATGTGCTTTACAAATGCATTAGTAAAGTCATTGTTAATAGAATGAAGGGATCTTTAGATTCCCTAATTGATAAAGCCCAATTGGCTTTTATCCCTGGTAGGAGGATTACGGATAATATTCTTATGGCTCATGAGCTTGTTTCTGGGTACCAATCGTCTAATGGCCCACCTAGATGTGCGTTTAAAATTGATATTAAAAAGGCTTATGATACGGTGGATTGGCGTTTTCTAGTTGTTATGCTTGAAGGCTTAGGATTCCATCCGGTTCTGGTAAAGTGGATAAGGGAATGGTATCAACAACTTCCTTTTCACTCTCACTCAATGGTAATTCCTATGGTTTCTTTCATGGTGGGAGGGGTTTGCGACAAGGTGATCCTTTATCTCCTTATCTTTTCACGATTGTTATGGAGGGGTTTTCTATGCTCCTTAAACAATGTATTCGTGAAGCTGCTGAGTTTGGTTACCATCGGGGTTGTGAGGAGCTAGAATTGACTCATCTTTGTTTTGCGGATGATTTGTTTGTATTTACTAAAGGGGATGTTCTTTCGGTGGAAGTTCTCAAGAAGGCAATTTATCTGTTTCAATGTCGTTCGGGATTAGCACCAAGTCTTGAAAAAAGTGAAATTTATTTTGGAAATGTGCCTTCCAACATTAAGGAGGCCATTCTAGAGTGTCTTCCTTTTAAACTTGGTTCTTTTCCTGTTCGCTACTTGGGGGTTCCTTTATCTCAGGCTCGATTGAAACTGTGTGATTATGCTCCATTAATTGCTAAGGTAAAGGGTCGTATCATTAATTGGAAGTCTAAGTTTCTGTCGTTTGGTGGGCGTCGGCAACTTATAATATCGGTCCTGCAATCCCTACAACTTCATTGGATGTCAGTTTTCTTATTACCTTCAGGGATAATCCATGATATCGAGTCTATTTTTCGGAAATTCCTTTGGGCTCCAAGGGATGATCTGAGAGGTAGATGTAGATTATCATGGGATGTGGTTTGTCGTCTTTTGGATGCTGGTGGCCTCGGGATTAAGCGGCTATCTATTTGGAATAGGGCTTTATTGGTGAAACATGTGTGGGATGTAGTGAGGCGTCGGGATTCATTGTGGGTTTCTTGGATTTATGGTCAGTATCTTCGTTCTTCTCATTTCTGGATGGTTCGAAAAAGCTCTAATTGGTCTTGGGTTTTTTGAAAACTGTTAGACTTACGAAGTCAAATGCGTCGATTTATGTTTTCTCAGATTGGGGATGGTAGGGCTACAAATGCTTGGGAAGATAATTGGCTATCCTATGGTCATCTTTCGGCGTTTATTTCTTATCGGTTTGTTCATTCTTGTGGTTTTTCTACTTCTACGACTGTTCGTGATCTTCTTCAGCATTGGGATGGTATTTGGCCGGATGATTGGCGTAGTTGATTTGCTGAACTGCCGTCTTCTCCTTTACCTTTGTTGAATGATTCGGTTCGTGACAAAGTTCTATGGGGTGAAGATCGTAATTCTGCTGCGGATTTCTTGGTGAGTAATGCTTGTACTTTGTTAGAGGGTGTTCATCCTGTTGTTCCGTGGCATAAAGCAGTGTGGTTCCCTGGACATATCCCTAAGCATGCATTCTGTTTATGGCTGGCTTGTCAAAGGAGGTTGCCTACTCAAGATCGTATGCTTTGGAAGGATGAGCCCCCGGATCTGGAATGCTCCCTTTGTAGATAGTGTATGGATAGCCACCTCCATTTATTTTTTCAGTGTCCTTATGCTAGAGAGGTTTGGGATAGTATCTTGCATGTTATGGCTCTGACGGATATGCCTTCCACGTGGGATCTTTTTATGAAAACAATTTCGGATTCAAATCATCGTCCGAATCGTTTAAATCAAAAACTTGCGGTAGCAGCTTCGGTTTACTACATTTGGCAGGACCGAAATAGACGGCTCTTTACTGGGGAAAGCCGCACGTATTTGCAACTTGTTAAAGTCATTGTTGATGCTATCTCTATGCGTGTGGATTGGTTATCAAGGAGGCCTGTGTGAAGTATTCATTGATAAGATGGCTCGTTTTTGTGATTGGGGAGTTTGGTTTATGCTCCTATATTTTATTTTTTGTTGTTTGTTTAAGTCGGTTGGGCTTTGTTTATTTTGGCTTGTTGTGGCTTGGTATGTGGTGTTGGCCAAGTCTTTGGGTTTTGTTTTTCTTTTATTGAAAGGGGAATATCCCCAGGCAATTTTATAAAGACAATAAAAGCAGGACCGTTACAAGCAAATCAACAAGAAAAACTACGGCAACTTTGACTTACAAACCAAGCCATAAGAAGCCA